AAGATAGAAAAAAGTTTAAAAATGCCTATCTTAGATATTTTTATGTTGAATCCAGTGACATAGTAAAAAAAATTGTTGGACCATTATATATCAAAAAAGTAGTAGTAATGATAGAGAACCTTTGTGTCTACATTTTTACATTCCCATTAAGGCTAATTGTCCTTTAAAAAAAGACCCTGCATTACACCGCATAGCTAAAACATAAATGTAAAAAACCACATTTTCGGCAATGTTTGCTCAAAATAAACCCGCCCTAGCGTAGTTTTAAAATGTGAGGCATTCTCACCATCTATAAGATAATATTTGTTAAAAACGAGCGTTTCATTATATTGACCTTTTCAGCCAAATCAAAATTTGTTTGCGTTTTGCCGCCTTGTAACAAAACACCTAATTTCCGTCTTGAAGTTTCATACCCAAAGTTATGACCACATCATATATTTGTTGAGTCGACTAGCTCTGTTAAACGCCCGGTATCTAGAAGCGTTTTCAGTTTTCGTTATGAAAAGTGTCGTGCCGCAAGTATTTGTGTTGATTCTAGTAGTTGAAGATAGAAGCTAAAGGTAATTGATTTCAGTTCTAGAGTTGTGTTTCAGCCGCCGCTACCGTAAATAAAGCTGCAATTAATTCGCCGTTTGCAACCGTTCCCGTCAAGATATTTCAATGATTTTTGATCCGTCCGAAAGCTCTTGCCATTTGCAAGACGAGGGCAAATTAATATTCCAGAATTTTAGCGACGTTAAGCTATTATTAGCAGTGTTTTGTTTCCTATGTTAATTTAAAATGAGCATTAAAACTGCAAACGTGCAGGTTTACGCCGTTATCAGGTTGACACCTTTATGCCCCACCTCAAATGTAGTTATCGTACGCAGAAGTAAACATGACCTCCAAAACATTTTAACAAATGGAGGAAGGGATTACAACTAGCGGGCATGAAAATTAACAACACAAACCCCAAAGTAATGGTGTCAAACTGAGAAAACAGAGTAAGAACTTAACATAAAGATAGAAAATGATAATGTAGAGGAAGTCCAAAATTTCTAACGTCTAGGAGTAATAATCAAAACAGAGGAAAGCAAGAAAGGGAGAACAATATTGACAGACATACAATGATCTGGTAATGAAGATACTGCAGGAGAAAGGAGTAACATGGGAAGAGGGAAAAACGAAATCAGAAAAGTGGTCCAAAGTTAAATTTGATGCACTTTCAGTTGCCCGACACCACAAGATAGAAGGGTTTTTGATGATATACAGGATGAGCATATTACCATAAAAAAACGTTTTTTGATTTATTGAATATTTCCAAGTTACGAGAAAAAATTCATTCATGCTACTCTTCTTGTGATAAGCATAAGACATCAAAATAATAAGTCAATTCAACAAAAATGTTGATATGCTTTTTAAGAATAGTCATACAAAAATTACGATTGCCATTTAAACAAATAGTCGATGACGTCATATTGCAAATTTAATACACGCAATTTCCAATATGTTTACCTATACACGAGCCTATACATAAAAAAACCAGTAAACGCTGGTTTTGCAGTGGACCCGTTTCAGAACTTTTAATCAGCGAGGTACATAAGTGAAAATCTGATGGGAGAGCGGCATTCTTATTAAAATTTTTAAAGGGAATCCATGCCGGCCAAGCGATCAGGCGTAAGAAAATTTTACACATTAACATCCCGCAACTTTATTTTCTCATTTAAATGTTAGATAAGACTTACCTATTAAAAAAATGTACTCGTAGACTCTTCATTGATCCAGCACGATAGCTGCATAGAGGGCAAGACTTGACAAGATCGTGTTGTCCGACATGCTCATTTTGAAAGTGAGCCCGCATAGCGATCTGCCTTTGAAAACCACGATTACAAATGGGACAATGATAGGGCAGCGTTTTTGTGTGCGTCGTAAAGTGTTCGGCGAGATGATCTTTCCTAAAAAACCTCTTCTGGCAGACGCGGCACTCGTACGGTTTAACACCTGTATGCCGCATCTTGTGCCTTCTCATATTGGCCCCGTTAGAAAACTTCATATTGCACACGTCACACTCGAACATTTTACGATGCAGTCGATCGGCAGGCGGGTTATTATTTTCCACTTCCATCTTCACCTCGTTCTCCGCTTTCATGTTAACGCTGTGAGTTTGATTTATGTGGGCGGTTAACGCTACTTGATTTACGGCTTCGAAGTCGCATCTATCACATCTGTGGTTCCCGTCACCCGAATCGTAATTGGTATTCGAACCGGTCACTGGTTCTGCGTCATTCTGTTCGGTTTCGTCATCCTGTAGTGTTAGCCCATCTTGGACGATTGCACTGCCCGAATCCGCTTCGTTATCGACTCCAGTGTCTGCCATGATCGGATCCTAATGTAAGGGGCGATGGGGATTCCATCAACTTGTGGAATGAAAACCACCAGATTACTAAAAACAAATGAATCTAATTATTTAAGTAGGTACCTACACTCTCTATTGCTTTGATAAATGTATTCCTATTTAACTTTGCATATTCACTACGTCTTGATTTTTAATTATTTTGGGAATAAAAAAAGGAACAAAACAATCGAAAATAAATAATTAAGTGAGAATATAAATTTGTAAATAAACAATGCGAATGAAATGAATAGTGTAGAAATGTATTAGTTTTCTCTTAGAAACAAGTGCGTGAATTCCTATGCTCGCAATCCGACCTATTTACAAATTACCGTACTTTCGAAACGCGATTTAAACGTATTACATCATAGCTTCAACTAGATACAGGTAAATGACATCAAAACTGCACATTTCTAATTACGTTTTCCATTAATTTTCGGCCGAGAAACACAAAGAAGAAAATGACAACGTCAACACAGTGATTAACGTTACATTGAGAAAATGGGGACCGCGTCCCTATTCCAGTCACTGCACTTTATGCACTGGATAACAATTAATTAGAAAACAACCTAACCTCAAGTTCTGGGAATGTTGTTTATTTTCGTGACATTATACTAAGCGATTTAAGAGTTTTTTCAAACTACTTACGTATAAATAAAACGACTAGCGACACTAAAAACTACATTGAAAAACACCTGTAAATATGGTTTGACCGCTTTTCGGCCATTCCTGGTTGACCCGCTAAAGGAAGTGGGAATGTGTTGTGGAGTTGCTAGAGAGTAGTGCGGGGAAGTAAAAAAAATTTCCATCACATAAACGAAAGATAATGTGCCGTTTCGTGACGATTTTATGTGAAATTTTTATCTTTATTTATCGTTCCTTTTAATAATAATTATGATCCAGATGCCCCTTTTCTCTCCTTCGCCTCCTGAAAGGAAGGAAACAGCATCAGTTGCTGTAGAGTGTAGGCCTGTAGGCTTCCGGGTAATCACTTGCGCATTGCTAGTTGCCTACTCAACTGCTTAAGTTGATACCCCCATACGAACATTATTTTCCGGAATTAAAATACTGTTCAATTTGATTTTAAGATTAGGTACCTATACACATGTACAGTTACTATGTCAGATTAAGGAAATACAAGGAAACTGACGACGCGGCGCTTTTTAAATGTTCAAACAGGTAGCGTGGCCGAGCGGTCTAAGGCGCTGGTTTAAGGCACCAGTCTCTTCGGAGGCGTGGGTTCGAATCCCACCGCTGCCAATTTTTTCTATAAATTGATATTCAAAGACATACGAAAGAAGAACCGGTTACATGGATCACGAATGGAATGTATAATAGTTTGTGTCCTCGTACAGATTTAACCAACCATTGGTATGGGAAACCAATAGATATTGTAAAAAACTGTAATCATCGACAGTACCGTCACCTATGTAACATTAGATTCAGACTGCATGTGTGGCAGCTGTCATTCTCTCTCCACTCGAAAGGTCTCCACGATGTACTTCATGTTCCATTGGAGACCAGGTCGATAAGTATATTACTTCAGATGGTAGAAATGCATCTTCTCCAAGGCCTTATAGTCCTTCACGACGGGGGATGTTTTTAGGTGTGAATGCAGGTAAAGCATTTCCGAAGAGACCAGCAACTTCTGCAACAGTTATTGGAATCCGCATCCAATCACCCAGCGCAACCTTCATAAACTCCTTCAATGGACCATTCCCACATCAAGTAGTGGTTGCCTACGATGTGAACAATAAACAGAAAAGCTTCTTTAGCCAAGTTTATTGCTCAAGACTAACATGACTGGAATGATTATTTATCCATTGATATTAACAATCTCTTCTCAGTGGAACAGCCACAACATTCTTTGATATGTGCCAGCACTCCCAAAAATAGTTCTCTGGTCATGTAGCCAGATTTACGAAAACTGGATAATGGCACACAATCATTCAAAAGAATTGCAGTATGGGAAAATTAGGAAACGCTCTGTGTATATTTTTTTATACACCAATCATGAAATCTTCGACTTTGACCGTTCTGCGCAGCTGCCGAAGATAAGGAAATTTACATAACGAAGCAGGGGCAAGAAAGTTAGCGCCAGTATTCGAATCCGACTCGAGTTCTTGTACCTAGTATTAGCCATTGAATTTCATGTCATGCATGCGGCATATGTTGCTCCTTCATCTCGTGCGGACTGCAGCTCTTGTCTCTTAGTATATACGAGGGAGTCCTCTAATTTGATGTTTCTCTGTAGAATGGTTTAACTATTTCCGCGAAGAAAGTACGTAATACAGTCGAATGATTTGCTGTATCTGTTGCTTTCTTTCTCGTGCTCGTTGCTGCACAGTGCGTATGATATGCGAGAAGGGGGTCCTCTAATTAACGTTTCTTCGATTATGTTTTGCATGTGCGACTTTAACATGAATGCTTATTATAAGCATTCTCGCATGTACCTTGCGTGTTTAAATTAATTAAAGTGGATGTTGGAGTAGAGCTATGCTTTTGACGTGTTCTTTTTTTATACATACAATTTACCATTTTACGAATTGTTTTGCCTAAATTGAACCTTAGATGTGTTTGATGTGTGTAATTGAATTGATTTATGTCTCTTGTGATTCGTTCTTGTTAATTTAATACATTTGACTCGACACCTGATTTTTATTGTACGATTTGAGATGTTTGATTTGTATATTTTCCTCTTTTGCATTTTGTTACAGTTGATTTTTTTGTATTTGCATGAGTTAGGTCTGGTTTTTTGTCCATAAAAGGTTTTCTTTATTGTATGCGTAATATCATTGAATTATTCAGTAGTAATACAATGCGATCACGAAACAGTGGCCAATTCGCTCGACTTTAGTATCAAATTGCCGTAATACATAGATCCTGCATCCATACTAAACATAACCTAAAACCAAAGCTAAAACCAAACAATTGTTTGACACGTCAACTTGAATAGTTTCAATAGTTTTTCAATTGTAGAGAAGAAGAAATTTAATAAAACGCTAATTTACATGCACATTGAACACAATTTATTAACGAGCTCCTAGCGAGTTTATAATTTTGCAGTGTCTGTCCGTCCGTCCGTCCGTTAGGACGATAACTCATAAACGAATGGACAGATTACGATGAAATTTTGCAAGTGGATTCTTTATCAAATTTATGGCCCGGCTGAAGGGAGGGCCATAATTTACCTGAAGGATTAAGACCACTACTTCAGTCGCAAGGTATATACGATATTTTTCGTACTTCCTAAACTGAAACACTTAATATGTATGTATTGAGTTAGACAACGCGTTCTTTCAAAAAATCGCTGCTTAACAAGTTACTATAGGAACGTTGCGTTGGTAGGACAATCTCTATGCTATGGTAACAAAAATAATTTGGAAACTGTCATTGCTAGTGTCATAATTTTGGTGGTGGGTGACAAAGGTGTATTTGATATTGATAAAAAGCAGCCAAAGTAGGTAAAGAATTGATACCACCGAAATCCAAAAAAACTATATGAGCAGCAGTACGATGCGTTTAAGAAGTAGTGCCGCATACAAAATGTGGAACAACCTACTGAAATTGCCTTGATAGTAATTTCATCCTTCCGGGATTTTCGTCCAAATTTAATCCCGGCGGGACAAAAAGTGACACTTCAGTACTTGTCATAATGGAGTGAAGTTGTCACTTTTGTCTCGGAAGTACGAAATAGTTATTTATGCATCAAGGGCATTACGGCGATATTTATGCCGAGGGCGACAGAGCCCGAGGGCCTCCGGCCCGAGGGATTGTAAGTCGCCCGAGGGTTAAATATTGAGTAATGCCTGAGGTGCATACAACATTTTATTTTTCATCGTTCCAAAGAATGCATTTCCAGTATGCAAATGTCATGATTATTGTTTTTATTTTTCATTTGCCCATTATATGTCAATTATATCTGTCATATGTGATACATGAAGCAGTCTATTACGCCCAAGGGCATAATGAGAGGGCATAATGGATTGTCATCTTATTATGCCCTCAAATGGCCTGTCAAATTGATTGACGGAGTTATATTATGTCATAAAAAAGATGCAACTTGATTCGTATGGAGCACTTTAATGTTGGGCAAACAATAATCACGACATTTGTATATTGGAAATGCATTCTTTAGAATGATGAAAAATAAAATGTTGTATGCACCTCAGGCATTACACAATATTTAACCCTCGGGCGACTTACAATCCCTCGGGCCAGAGGCCCTCGGGCTCTGTCGCCCTCGGCATAAATATCGCCTTAATGCCCTTGATGCATAAATAACTATTCCAACATTAAAGTGCTTCATACGAATCAAGTTGCATCTTTTTTATTACATAATATAGCCCCGTCAATCAATTTGACAGGCCGTTTGAGGGCATAATGAGATGACAATCCATTATGCCCTCTCATTATGCCCTTGGGCGTAATAGACTGCTTCATGTATCACATATGACAGATATAATTGACATATAATGGGCAAATGAAAAATAAAAAAAATATTTGCTATAATGCGCACGTTACGTTGCCTATAATTTGGCGCAAAATGTGTCGCTCAGGTCGACTCTGCGGCCTATTATCACAATTAAACACTTTGTCCTTGTCTGTGCTATTAGCTTATATTTTAATGATCCTAAGTTCGATTATAATTTTGAATTGCCGTCTGCCTGCCTGTCCGTTTGTTTGTCCGTGTGCACAATTACTTTATTTAGAAACATCAAACATAATAGGTAGGTATTCTAATGTATTGTAAGTACCTATATTGTAAAAATGATCTCGAGGATCGTTCGGTATTTAGTTGTATTGGATTTTTTAAAGTTAACATAGTGCGCTTTGTTAAGTCCCTGCAATTTTATGGCGCTCGAAGACAGAAAGGCGTTTTTAAAGTAATTGTAATAGAAAGCTTAAATTTTTATTCAATGTATAAAAAGGTATCTATAAAAGGTTCGTCATCTGCAAAGATATATTGATGGAGACGCCGATTACTAAAAGCATTGAATAAAAATAGTGTTTTTATTCAATGCTAAAAGGTAAGTGGTGAATATAAAAGATGGATGAAACAGAAACAGTCTTCTAAAAGGTAAGTTTTCTTCTTTTAAGAATGCTTATGCATATGGTTAAAAATAAGGAATCGGGATCCTGGATGCAAACTTTACGATTGTTATACAATTGGATGATGCCTTTAGAATTGCAGTCTACTCGTGTAGGATATTATGATATTTGTTGTCATGATCTTTTTGCTTGTGGATTTGCAGGTCCAGCTCGAGGACTATTTGATCTTTCCTGCAATCTAAGTCGAGGACCAAAATCCACGCATTCCGCTTTTAGTGATATAGGTTCGAGCAATATTTTCAGCTGAGGTACACGTTACCAAAGAATCTTTTGAATGATAAAGGAACCATGGAAAGCAACCAGACGAACAATGACTTTTGCGTTGGCTCAGAGGCCGTTGTTTGGAATAATACCTACCTACTTTTGGACACGCTGCTAATACTGGTGAAGGCGACAATAGTAAAAATACAGTGACCTAATGGATAAATTTACTTTTATTTCCATTGTGGTGGAGGTAAGTGGGATATGGGTAACAAATAAGGAATAGAATGTAGGGTCTAGAAATTTAGTTCCTATAATCTTAATGCAACCATTGTGTTTTTCATGTAACATTACAAAGCTTATAAAAAATTTAGTGACTGGTTTTTCTTGCCACCGTTAAACTCATCTGATAGATAACTTCCTATGTGAAAACATTTGTTTCCGTGAAAATTAACTAGAAGATAAGCTTCACTAAGATAAAAAAAACGGCAAACTTTACTGGGCGTTGACGTGCCAATTTATTTGCTATATTTTCTTGGTGCATAGAAGAACGGGGTTGCACCCTTCCCCTCCGAATACTCAAGATTCCTTTTTGCATACGCATGTCAGGACATGTAAATGCAACTGTCATTAAATGTTTTACCAATTTATTTTCAATATCTCATATCTGGTATGCCTTATTCTTTCATTCATTCAGATCGAGGTGGTTCATTTATGTCTAATGAAATTAAAAGATTCGCATATTCTAAAGAAATTGCAACAAACTAGAACTACTTCCTACAATCAGGCAGAAAACGGCCAAATTGAAAAATATAATGGTAAGTAGCTAAATACATTGTGAAAAATTACCTATATGTTTAGCTTCAAACACTATAAACAATAGGAAATGGTTTTAGAAGAGGCTTTGTATTCTATTAGATTTCTTCTATGTGTAGCAACCAATCAAATCCTTTATAAACGTATGTTTCAGTTATGAAAAAGCAGTTCCTTCTTGGCTGACTAACCCTCGTTTAGTGTGGATAAAGAAAAAGCAAGTAATATGATCATCCATTTGTTGAAGAGGCTTATCTACTAGGGGCCAATCCAGAAGATGCTGTTGCTCGTCTTCTTAATGGGAGAGAAGATACGGTATCTCTAAGACACTTAGCACTCCAAGCAAGTCTATCGGATATCGAAAAATATATACTAGACGCTTGAAAAGGCCCACAATCGGGCGCTAGAGGCAAAGCAAAGAAAGATCCGGTGGAAGTATGGTTGCAAAGCTGAAACTTAAAGGAATTGACGGAAGGGCACCACCAGGATTCGGTGGGTAGTGGTGTATGGCCGTTCTTAGTTGGTGGAGCGATTTGTCTGGTTAATTCCGATAACGAACGAGACTTTGTCCTGCTTAATAATATGCCCTTAGAGGGATTGAGGCTTGAAATTCTTCCCCATGAACGAGGAATTCCCAGTAAGCGCGAGTCATAAGCTCGCGTTGATTACGTCCCTGCCCTTTGTACACACCGCCCGTCGCTACTACCGATCGAACGGTTTAGCGAGGTTTTTAGATAACTGCGCTTGATTCCTCCAAAAAATAATTAAAAATATGAAGGTGGCAATTAGCAACCGGATATTAGAGAGATAATAACGCTTTCGAAAAGAAAGGTTAACGGTAAATGTGATAAAGAGTGAAAGACCCTGCCAGAGAGCCTCTATGACCCTGAATAACATAAGCGAGGAAGCTAACTGTGGAACGCGTAGGACAAGTAGGGTGGCGAACCAGGACATAAAGTCGATGGAGGTACTAACATATCTCCTAAACATCACAAAGACCTCACTGTGCGGATGGCGGAGGTACTCAAACCGGAGGGAAGAAATTACTAACTCTGACTGGCTTCAGTGAATCCACAAGAGGGGGTTCTCGGCCCTACTCAATATCTGGAAAACTGTAGGAGGAGTTAAGGCCTCAGACGGAGAGACGGAAAAAGTGGCGCCTTCAAAAATGCGCTAAAAAAATGACTACTCTAATGTTGTATACATGCAGCGTGATCTTGGAAAGAACAGTTTTTTTGATAAATGAAAAATTAAAAAATGAATGTTTTTAAATTGTTGATCCGCACTGCCGAATCCCTGCAAACCAGCAAATTTCTCCCAAAAAAGCTTATAAAAAATCGCGATTTTGTTAGGGTCATTTTAAACAATAAAATAGGAAAGGGGTCCAGAGAGAAACTGTCCAAGATGGAAATTGATATACCTAAGTAGTACTGTAGTAAAGTATACCAGGGTGCCCTATGTGAGACCCAGAAGTCCCGGTATGGAGGGAACTGGTAGGTATTTAAATTTAAACTTGATAGAAGAAAATTGTATTGTCTGTCTATAAGAGATTCGCTCCAATCGTGTTTTTAAGAAGAAATCTCTGCAAATTCAACTGATTCCAAAAGTAAGTGTAATCACAGATTTAAATAAATCTGTGGTGTAATCAACGTGAAGATAATTCGGGCCATGGCTCTCAACTTCCGAATAAATACAACGAACTCCACAAAGTCGTTGAATCGGCTGTAATGCTGTAAAGAAAAATAGACGCTAAATAAATTCAAGACGTATTTGTCGAGTTTTATTAAATTTACATATAGAATGAATAATACATACATCTTTACAATATTTGCAAACTACGTTAACTAGGTAGTTACTTTTTAGGTGCGTAGTATTCTATCTACATACTTGGTACATAAATATGAATAATTAATGATTTTATAGCGGAAGTATCTACAACGATAATTGTACTTTGACAGAGGATCAATGCAACTTTGTATTTGCAAATCGAGTATGTTAATTACAGAGCAATATGCACATATATGCATTGATAATGAAATTGGCAGCAATTGTATGTCACGTAAAAATTACTTTTTCGAAAGATGTCTAGGTTTGATTACCGAAAATAGCTTAACCTCGCACACGTTGAAAATAACTAAGTGTGCCAAGCATATTAATTGGAATTAGTCTAATTTCGAGTAATTGCGTAACAGCGGTATAAATGTACGCGAAAATTGTTTTAATTTAAACACTTAGCATTCATTCATTCATTCAAACATCGACCTAAAATATATTACTTTATTGTAATCTGATTCTTAATTATAGTAATTACACGAAGAACAAGGGCGGTAGGTATACATTCAGTTCAAATTAACAAATTCAATTGACTCGTTCAAATGTTTGTTTGCTAATTTTTTCCCAACTTTACCTTAAGCCATTTATGAGCTACATACTAAAATACTGTGATCAAGAGTATCTACAAAATGCTTAATTCTGCGATACTGATACCTTATTCAGATGACGGATTAAGAACGGAAGCATTTTCTGAGTACCCTCATGTGTTTCCAATAGGTATTCCAAATTTGTTCTGATCTTGTTACTAAAGCAAAGCGGGAAACACGTTCTGCTTCAGTCCTTGGATATATTCTGAAATGTTGGTGGATACTGAAAGGTAATACCTATTGTGAACTGTTTGTAAACAGTCGTTCCACACTTGCTTAGAAGAAATGTTCAGATATCCTTCAAAGTAAGTTAATATGTGAAATCTGAGGCATTTGATCCACGCTTAGAAAAATAATGAACATATTTACACAGGGCGTTGTGAATACCGGAAGGAAGCAATTTCTTTTAAAGCGGATACAAATGTCGTTTAAAACCACACCTGGTATAACGTAAAAAAGTGAAGGAAGATATTTGAACTGAAAATGAACCGAAGTCTCCATTCTTAAATTTTGAAATTAGCTACTGAACGAATTTACAGTTCACCATAAAATACAGTGATGTAAACAGTTCTGTGACACTAAATAGATATACTCAAAATATTTTGTTATATTTTTGGGATGCGCGGTATTTAATTAGAATTTGTGCCTGCGCCATATTTTATTAATAATTCTGGACTGGAGTTCATTCATGTTTATGCTAAATTGTATCGCAAATTTGTTCGGCCAGACGTTTGGCAACGAAAAACTTTTTCTAAGTGCAATATAAAAATAACTTTCTTAGAATAACTTACATGTAGGTACTTATGTAAACCGAATAAATTAAGCTTAAAATTTTAACAAAAAAAACGCTTAAATATACTAAGGTACAAAGTATGATTCCAATACGCAAATCTTTGTTACTTTAGCTGCAAGGTTCACCATTCCAAAGTTAAATCACTAAAGAATATCACACGTGTTTAAATGAACCAGAAAAAAATTAATTCTTCTAGACTGACAAACATTGCTTAGACTTTAATATTAAAAATAGTAATAAATAAAGCATTAACAAATACCGTCACATTGCAAGTTAGGTAAAGAATGTCGGATATGTATCTATTGGTACAAATCCTGGATTAATAACTACGTTTTGTTTGTCGAAGTGGGGTTGGATTCTTCAATGTAAACGTTACCGGTATCCGACCGGATCTTTGTATCCTTACGCACTGAAACAGGAAACATCCCCAATCAGTTCAAAAATACTAGACTTCCTGTTAGACAAAAAACCACTTGCTTCTAAATTCGGCAATGGCATGAGGAAATTTGAATTTATTTTTAATTTGGCGTTAAGGAAGCCGTACAGGAAATCACATTGCGTACCTAATTATAAAGAAATGAGATTAGCACCTACCGTTTAGTAGCTGTTCCAGGTATACACATCTATTTTTGAGGTAGTTTCCGTCATGAACAGGTCCCATGCTCGGTTCCAATATTTCACCTTTCTCGTTCGACGACGCTGCCATTAAACTTAGTCTGGCCGACAGCTCTTCGACATCTGGAACAAAATCATATATAAATATAATTAGTTTCGTTTGTAACGTGTGTAATTATGTCGTTTTTCAATCAGTGAAAGCATTAACCGTCGAACTTCCTGCAAAAGAAACTTTGGGTGACCGAACAAATTAGTACGGCGTAAATGACGAAAACCTTTTTTGATTAATGATTCGTCCGCCCAAATTACGCGTAATTGATTTTCGTGTCAAATTTTTCGTTCACCGGTGAAAATTGATGCCGCAACTTTATGTTGAGTCGTATCTGTTTTAGCACATCATTACTTTCGTAAATCTGACATGTTAAACTATTTAGGTCTTTCTATTTTGAAAATATGTAAATTCTGAATGAATGAAATTTTATCACTTTAGAAATAGGGATATCTAAATTAAAACACGACCGGCTTTCAGCGAAAATTTAATTAATCTAAGCTATGTTTAATCTCGCTGGTTAGTGGGAATCCAAATTCAGTTTCATTGATGGTTGTCGACAAGGATTTTCTGTACGACCTGCGAGTTACGATGTGGTATGTTTATTAACGTTAATTTGCGTTACGAAAGGCGGACAGAGAAAACTTAGGGTACACCAATATAACGAATGGCAGTTCGCCCCCAAGTTACGGATTATACTCTGACATTCATTGTTCACGGTCTTAAATGGACACTTCTAATTCCGGATTAAATTTGGCAGCGCCAAGTTCTGTAGAATTGTCTCATCAGATACCAAAACAGCAAACTTTGGCAAGTTTGGCATGTGACGTCTGTTCAATAAATTCAATGAGGAGGAAATACAAGATACTTTGTTTGTCTTAGTTTCCATGTATTATTATGTTCTTCAACACAAAGTTAGTTACCTGCTATGTTGTATTTTGTATCCAATAATTAAACACATTGTACAAAAGTACTCATCGTTTCACAACGAAAATTCACAGAATGGGATCAGATGTTAAATTTCGAAGCTTGAAGCTTACTTAAACTTCATCACTCACAAAAATGGAGCATTTGCCTTTTAGTTTCCATTCTCATTTTTTATGTAATCAGACGCATAATTTTTCTGAACCTATACCTAAAATTAATTTGTAACTGACCTATGCTTTCTGATACTTGAAGAATATTTTATGGCAGATAAGATTTTCTCAAAATGTTGTTCTGCAGGAGTTCTCTAAGTTGAAATAATACCGACCATGAGAGCGAGCCACCCTGTAGTTGAAAATTTACGTGCTGTAAACGTAATTTCGGTTTAGCATTAGAACGGTTGTACAATGTTTTAATTTATTAGCTTAAGACCTGATGGAAACTTGGTCAAATGGACACAGAATTTGAGGATTTTATTTTATAGTCATTGTAATGTTTAGTCTTTGTATCGTAAATATACAATTTGTGTAAGTAACTTAAGGGTTGTTATTGTATTTCATAAGTCTTATTCTCCTGGCATTTGTTATCTTAGCAAATTTGCTAAGTTAAGTCGCGTTTAACAAATTATTTAGCCGTTTTTCTCGTTTGCCATTCCGGCGGCACTTTGCTAGGAGCCAGAGGAAAACTAAGAGCGAGGCTTCGGTTTTGCTACGCAATTCCGCATGAATGTAGCCGTTTCTTGTCAGTATTCCGAAAAGACGCACCATTAGTACAAAAACACTTTCTAAAGTTGGATTCGCTATCAGAGTTACGTGAGTTAAACGACGAGTTTGATGCACCGAATGTAAACATCCCGTTAATAGTAACAAATATGTAATTAATGTGAATTAAAAATAATTGCTAATTATCCTATTTCTAATTGCTCTTCCTTTCTGCTTCTGCTTATCTCTCACACGCTCGCACTCGCTGGGATTTACTATACCTAAATTTTTTAACTTCTAAGACGTCTGCCACTATTAAAGCTACACTTAATATCGTCTGCCAGGATATATTTTAAAGTAGTGACAAAAAGAGGAATTTTTATGTATAATTTTTATACGGTCCTCATGGTTTAGTTCAGGGGTGTTTTTCCCTACATTGGAGGGCGTCTTTCGCTACCAACGCTGCACTTAAAATCGTCTGCCATAGCATATTTGAAAACTATGGAAAAAATGGGATTTCTTGATACAAATCTTTTCCGTGACCCTTATAGTTTGGTAATTTAGTTGATCATCTAAAGAAGTGCCGCTTACGACTGGCAGACGAGTGATTTTATTATTAGTTTTCAACGTACTTTCAGCCTGTATTGTCGAATTTTTTGTCGCTTATGGTTTACTTACTATGTACGCTGCCTCCCGGTCTAGCATATGGGAATCAATTTGGTAACGTAGTTGCTGTTCGTTTTTCGTCGTTTCAACGATGCGGGTTAATGGAGTGGAGATGATGATTGCTTAAATAAGTTTTTTTCTAAGGCCGTTTCGGGATTTTGCCCATTTTGGCCCACAGTTTAAACATAAGTCACAATTAGACATTAGGATAGACCCATTTCACGCTCTGGGGCCGATCAGAGCGACTTTATAAACAACACAGGTAGGCCACGGAAGAAAGGGATATACAGATACACACAGGTACTTAATACCTTAATGGATATTTAATGTTGTATAAAAAGGTTATTAGTAAGTCAAATATTACCATTCCAGGTACGTAACAATGGGTGTTAAATGGACTACAGAATTTTGGCAAATTGTATAAGTATAATTAGTCGTAGCTAATTAGATGTGTTGCAGCAAATATCGTCTGATTAGTGATTAGGTTTAGTATCATTGGAAGCACGCTAAATCATCAAGATTTTTCGGGTGACCGGGCACCGAGCAATTAATTAAAGAAGTTTACATTTGCGAGCGCTTTGATACTAGTTCGTTGAACGAGCCGGACTTTCCAGCCCTCCCTTTCTTCATTTCGGGAATTTTATAAAAGGTACGAGTGTGATTTAGGAGGCTTCTTTTGTGAGAATCTACGAACAAGGATTGCGACAAGGTCGACATTCCTTTGTGGAAGAATTTTAATAAAGTGTTTGAAAAATTGCAACAGAGAGAAGGCGTAAAACTAGCTAATCGATTTGGGCAGAGGACTGGTACGTGAGGGAAAACAATAGCTATCCAAAAACTTAATCTGTAACTGTATACCCAAATTCATTAGGTACACAACCTCAAACGTACCTACTGAATATACAGAAGTCCTAATGTGCTGTTGGTTCACAATGTTTCCAACACACTGTAGACATCAGGTGGCCAAAGAGAAATCGTAAGCGACTATTTTTGAGAAAGTAACAAAGTTTATCACACAATAATCACTTCGGGGGAAACATTTTAAATCATGCATCAAAAACGGTACTTTATTCGTAAAAATACTCGTGTGAATTTTTCTGGTAAAGTAACATTGGAGCCCTCTATCCCTCTCTTCGCTTGCCAAAGACGTTTCTTCAAACAAAACTAATGTTTAGAATTATATTACGTATTACAAAATACAATACTAAAAAAACGTGTTCGATTTGCTTAAGTTAAAGCTATAACTCCAAGGTTAAAACAATTATAGTTTTAGATCGATGCAATCATCATAATTAAAATCAACATCCTTCATACAGATTGATGTGTTATGGACATGTTTATGCATTTGTATTACGTATATAATGGACGAGTACCATTTATTTACATAAGTCGGTAATTCTTTTCACTTTGAAGTAATAGCAGAATCAAATTTGGTTTTTCCAAACGACTTGAGGTCTGGACAGACCAAGATAAGCTCTAAAACATATAATTAAAATGAAGAGGGTTTATTATATTCTAAGTACCAAGGGAATATGTATTTACGATCGTCTCTTGGTGAAATTTTCAGTTATGATTAGGGATACTCAAAAGAGTTCTGATCGCATAATAAACAAGATGCGAAAAATCGCAAGTAGGGGCATTTTTGACACACATTCGGAAACACGACTTTTAATTCGGCTCGTATTCAATAGCACTGATCTTTGAACTCGTAAAAATCGAAGGCGAAGGTTTGACTCCTTTCGTTCTCGAGTTAGACGAAGTAGCCCCAGCGAATCAAGGTTAAATAAAAATAAAAAATACTTTCGAAGTTGGGCCAAAATGTTCTTTGGGCCTTCCCCTTGCACATATCCAAAAATCCCATATGTAGGGGGAGCGCAACATCCTGCCAATTTGAATTTTAGGCCCCTTTTTTCCGTTTTTCATAACGACTTATACCTATGTACAATAAGTAAAAAGGTTTTCGCCCTAAGGCGAGTAACTTTAGTGCATTTTCCATGCATTGATTCCAAAAAGTCACAGAATCGACATAATGCGTATGCGCACTCTAATTGTCAAGATTTTTCTTGGTTCAGGTGCCCGATACGGTTATCTTTGCTAGAAGCATCTGTTTCAAAAAAAATTTCTCTATAAATAAGAAATTTGACGGCGCTTGGATGAGGTTAGAAATTAGTTTCGTCTTTCATGTTATTCATAAAGGTCTTAACGGAAGCAACTGTTTTCAACTTCCACTGCAGTCCTTCTCGCTTACGCTTTATCCAAATCGGAGACTTATGAAGGGTTTTGTCCTTCACGGTACTTTAATTAAAGGCCTCAAGAACAGGAATTAATCTCTATCAAGCACAACCCTCCTCCTCAATCTGTTATTTATTTATCATACCTCAATAGCGGAGTGTCGAAGGAAGGTACTAACAAAGGGCGATTCGAATGTCTGGAAAAAAACATCCATTTGGTGATTTTTCAAAAGTTATTTCGAAAACGAAGTGTCGAAGGAGAGCACTCACAAAGGCAAAATGAATCGGGGGGGAGTGGAACTAGTTTTATCCTTCAGTACTCTAATGAAAGGTCGCAACGAATGGAATTAATTTCTACCAACCATAGCCCTCTTCCTCGACCTCTTATCGTGATCGGGTATATTCCCTTATACCCCAAGAACGGATTGTCGGAAGAGGGTACTCACAAAGGGCGATTGAGACGTCTGCAAGAAAAATATCCATTGTTGACATAAAAACAAAAGCTATTTCGGTTTAAAGAAATGCGCTTTATCTCGTTATTTATGGAGATATTTCCTTGAAATTTTAACCATATATGCCTC